CTTCCAGTTTCAGGTGCATGAAACGTGCCATCACTGAACTCTAACACAGCACCGTCATCTGGAACATGGGCAGAATTCAGTAGTAGCACAGGGAATTCTAGGACCAGACCTCGGGTGTGAGGATGAGCATGCATCCCAGCCCCACCTCAATGGCAGAGCTGCATGCTCGCTGCTGCTCCCCAGCACTGCTTGCTAATGGTGGCAGGGCAGCAGCCTGCCTCAGAGCAGCACGGCCCTGCCGCCATGCAGGAGCAGGCTGAGGTGCAGACGGGACTGCAGCAGAGCTGTGGGTGAAGCCCAGTGGCCCTGGTTTGTTAAACCTCCACACAAACCAGCATGGAAATCCCCAACAGAGGTACAACCAATAGCTACTTCAGTTGTTCGTTGTGAACGTGGACCAGCATCACTATCAGGTTTCCATTGTAAATCCACACAAAGGAAGATTAAACAAGTACCATCCTAAAAGGGGGAAAACTACTTTGTGTGTGCGCGTGACAAATATTAGACAGCAAGTAGCATAATTATATTTCCTATAAGGGCTTTTAGATTGCAATCAATAGAAGTGATGAAAGACAAGTAGAAGAGTAAAACATCACAGCCCATTTAGAGTGAAGTTCAAAAAAACCTAGCACAACTCACGAATTTCAGTTCACAGATATTGACAGCAGTGCCAGCTTTCATACAGCAGCAGTTAAGAAACTAAATTAAAAACATGCAGTCTGCTTTGTTCTGAGGAAAGATGCGGCCCCTTTGCTCCACAGTGACGGAGGCAGCAGGCAGAACTTCTGTTTTCTGCTAGAGAGTGTACTTTACAGAAAGATTTCTGCTCACACACCATGAAATGTTCTTCCTTGTTAACACTGCAAGTTTAGGGGAAGAAAAAAAGACTGATTTAGTGTCTATATTTTACATAATTCCACGCCTACATTGCTTTGTTTGATCTTTCATGGTAAGAATATATGGATTACTCAAACCTAAGTCAAAATATACCCTCTCAGAAATAAAGAGATTAAAGTTAAAAATCTCACCAACTCTTGCATTATTTTAATCCTAATCCTGGGATCTATGATACCCTGGAAATGTTGCACAGCACTCTGCCAAGAGCTCTAGGAGAGCAATGCTCACATGTCTCTTCATTTTCCAAGTGTAAGATTACCACTTAGCCATCAGCTCTTCAGTTAAGCAATGAAGATGACTTTTAAGCTTTTGTTGAACAAGGATCTTTTTCAGATCTGAACGCTGCAGAAATAGGTCTGCTTCCTCAGTTTGAGAAAGATGGTTCTGAACGAAAGCACCACCAAAGTCCCTGGAAGCAAACCTGAACCAGCAAATAGCACAGACTATTCCCAGCAAAGCTCAGGGAAAAAAAAAAAAAAAAAAAAAAGTGAGGGACAGTCTGGAAAATATAGCACTGGATTTTTTTTTTTTAATGTCATTTGTACAGGAAAAAATGTAGCAGCAAGATAAATTTGTTCCTCCCAGTGACACAGCTTGTACGGGTGTGTGACTCCACGCAGCCTGGCCCTGTCCTGCCTCAGCAACCACAGCTTTGTTGATCAGCTCCTCAGATGACCTGTGAAGAACCTGCTTCTTAAATACATGGCTTTTAATACAGCATCAGTAGGAAGAGGAATATAAAAGGTCAGGACAAGCAACTTCACTTCAACTTAGTAACATCTTCCTTTAAAAGAAGCCAGTAATGGCCACTGGGCCATTGCAAGTCATGGGGGCTCACTGAACAGATGTGGGACTAAGTCCTTAATATATGGGCTGCTACACTGAAATGGTTTAAAATACGCAGCTTTCTCTGCAGTAAGACTCTACATGAGACAATCACACACACACAAACAAACCAACCCCACTTTCAAGTCACCATCCAATGTTCCAACGCAACTCCTCAAACTTATTCCCTTTTTGCTCATTTTCTCCATCTAACATACTCCCTATTAATCACCTCCACACTGCTAAGGATCACTGAGAAAGCTCACATGCTTGTACACATTTTGTGGCATTTAGATAGCACAAAGATTACATTAATCTAATTTTCCAAACATATGCTGTCTTTAGAAGGAAATCAGGAACTGGAAATCTCAGCGGGGGCTGTGAGTCCTTTGGAAAACAGCAGGACAGTCTCACAAATAGGAACTCTTCTCATACTGATCTGTACAATAGCACTCGACTATTACATGTTTTCATGACTGGCAATGTGCTTTCAATTCTGAAACAGTCTCACTTGCCTTAAAAAAAGAACCAAAGTAGTGCCCTTAAAATAGCTGAAAAGCAGCTGTTGGATTTCTCACAGGATGAGGATTTATGCTCATTCTACACACGATGCACACCAACCATTAGACTAATACACAGTTACAGCTACAGAAAGCGTGCCTTCCCAGTACAGCCTGTCTTGCTAATAACACACCAATAAAACATTCCCTCTGCATGAATTCCACAAGCACTGTTTGTGGTTTGCTTGGGTTCTGTTCTGTTGTTTACTTCAACAAAACCACAACCATTTGGACAGAAGAGGCTTTGCTCACATGCACGAAGTTTCTCATCTCTGTGACCGCCCAACCATTGGAACCCTCTGCTGCAAATGTGGAAATCATTCTCCTTCTGTCAGCGTTGTGGCCTTCTGACAGCATTAGGTTTCTGACAGCAGAGTCAATGCTTCACAGGGAGAACACTTTTTCAGACTTGTACTTACCTCAGTTCAGCCCTCTGTATTAAATTCGGTTTATAATACTTAAAATGTTTCAAAGAAATACGTCTTGCAGTTATCTTAGACAGCTATACACAAATCAATGTCTACCAATCAGATAAAACACATTGATTTACTCTTTGAAAATGCATTTTCCAAACATGAACAAGGCATTCAAGCCTCTGGCAAACAACTTTTCCAAAACGATCCTCTGCTCCCTCTATTGTGAGGCAGATAACCGCCTTCTGCTCAATAAGGCAGATGCCTGCAGAAGGCAGCCCGCTTTGGTTTCACCATAAACAAAGCCACAAAGATCAGCCATTCAATAACCAGTAAAAGATTCACACAAATGCTGGAGGAAAAAAAAAACCAACAAAACAAAAACCCTGGCAAGAGCTGCCCCTACATAAGGAATCCTCTCAAAAGGTCTTTTGCTCAGTAATTCAGTGCACGAACAGGGAGGGACCCCAGAAACTGGGGCAGAGGAGCCTGCCTGTCCTGGGTTATATGGCCACGCAGAGAGAAACACACGGAGCCACGATCAAAATTACCAAACAGACGCACCTTAAATAACATTGTAAAACAATCCGTTCTCTACCTAAAACTTTATTGGGACTGATCTGGTATCACAGGCGCGTTTAAAAGCAAGCGAGCGCTGCGGACGGGCGGTGGGATGGGATGTGCCGTCCTTCCCGCGGCTCCCCGCACCATTCCCCGCTGCCGGCCGGGACGGTGCGAGCGGAGCGCTTTGTGCTCGGCTCCCATTGTGCGATGCCCGGGCAGGGCAGGACCGAGCAGAACCGTTATCCAGCAGCTGTAAAACCCCGTTCTTTCCCCATTTGTTCGGTTTTTGCTCACCTCCCGTTACAATTACCGGCTCACGTGCGGATTTATCACGGCTTCATTCGCCTCCTCTGTGCCTCCAGCCCAACGGGGCTCGCAAAGAAACGCCTCCCGCTGCCCGGCGCAGCACAAAGCGCCGCAACTCACCCTCAGCTCTCCGCCCGCAGACTTTTCGCTCTCGGAACGGATCCCCTCCGCTCCCTCGTTGCGCTGCAGCCTTCGGGACGGGCGCAGATGGGAGCAGAGCAGCGCGGCTGGGGTCAGGGGGCGGCGGGGAAGCGCTCGGCTCGGCTCGCGCCCACTGCAGCCCCGCTGCCCCTCACGACGCCTCGCGCCCTTCCCGCTCGCGGCTGGGATTATTCTGCCCCCCCCCCCCCCCCCCCCCCCCCCAGGTCCCCTCGGCCCCTCACGCTCCGGCCCCTCACTCACTACTTGTAGAGCTGCTGCAGGCAGAGGTCCAGGCACTCGCCCTCCACCTCCTCCTCCGTGATGTACTCCGACAGCGGCCGGGGCAGCGGGGGCAGCGGCGGGGGGGGCGGCGGCGGGGTGGGCGGCCGAGGGTCCGCGGCGTCTCCTTCCTCCGCCTCAGCGGCCGCCGCCTCTCCCTCAGCCCCGGGGTCCTCCTCGGAAGCGGCGGTGTCGGCGGCGTCAGCGGCCGGAGGGGGGGGGAGCCGGCGCCGGCTCTGCCCCGAAGGGCCCGCGGAACTCTCCCAAGAACAGCTCGAGGAAGCGGCGGTAGCTCTTCTCCTCCGCGCCGCTTCCTCCGCCGCTACTGCCCGAGCCGCCCGCGGCCATCGCTTCGCATTCCCGAGCCGCCCGCCGGTGGATCAGCACTGCGCCCGCAGAGAGCTCCCTGCCCGCCGCCGCCGGCTGCCGCCTCCCGCCCGCCCGCCTGCGCGCGCGCTCCCGAGCAGGACATGCGGGGGCGCGCACGCCGCGGGGGGGGGAAAGGGGGCGCTCGCGCGTTTCAGAGGCGGGAACGCGGCCGAGCGCTGAGGGGGCCGAGGTGGAGGCGGGAAGGGAGGGGAGGGCCGGGGGCGAGCAGACGGAGTGCGGCCGCGCCGATGTGATGAGTCACGCGAAGACAGCCAGACGCGTAGGTTCCTCACAGGAACCCGGAGGAAACATGAGAGTGCGTTCCTTATTACCTAATCCCCGCCTCAGGATTTCCCTACGCTCATCGTTTCCGCAGCCGCTGTCGCCTACCGCGGGCTCTGACGGGACAGGGCGGGGGAAGGGAGCGGAGCGGAGCGGAGCCCCACACGGCCGCATTCCAGAAAAGGAGCAGAGCAGAGCCGATTTCCGTGTGGAAAACGAGCGCTCTGGAGCCCCCGAGGGGCTGAGGGGCATCCCCGGGCCGGAGAGCGGCCGCTCTGCTGAGCTCCGCCTGACGGGCCGGCTGTGACGCAGCGCGGTCGGCGTATGGCGGCGGGGCGATCGCAGCGCCCACAGCGCCCACAGCGCTCATAGTGCCCACAGCGCCCACAGCGCCCACCCGATGAGCGCCGGCCGTTCGCGGAAGAGGTTTCTCTGCTTGTTTTATTCGCTGCTGGCAGAAAGCTGTTCTCAGAGCTGTGGGGTCGGTAAATATCAGCGTTGAGCAGCTGTGACTGTCGTAGGGTTGGAACAGCTTTAGCACGGGGGAAGGAATGACACCCCGAAAGTCTGCTGCGCCCTGAAAAAATGGCCACGTGCAAAACTGTTCCCAAACGGGAACAGATTGGGGCGAGAAACGGATTGGGGAGAGGAAGCTGCTGTTCTCCGCCTGGCAGGCATTGCTGCGGTGCCTCTGCTCTGTGCTGGGCACGGTTACTTCGGAGCCAAACTGATGGCAGTGTTTGCAGCGTTTCCATCGGCTGATCGCACTGCAATCTTGTGAATACGTAAAAGCCCCGAGAGTTAAAACTGCCATTTGTCACAGTTGGTCTGCCGCTGCCAAAAGCTCTTAACGCGGCAGCAAACGGCACGGCTTCTCCCCGGAGCATCCCTCAAAGTACGTCCGTCACTCTGCCGGTTACGTATTTTCAGTGTAACGTTATTTAAGGATGCCAGGTCGAGCTGAGGGGTACAAATGATTGCAGCTCTTTCTGAAGAGGCAGCCCGTGGCTGCAGCTGATGACATCATTGCTTTTTTCTTTCTTTCTTTCTTTTTTTTTCTTTAGGTTTGTACTGCATCATCCATGAGTCACAGCCCTCGGGAGAATGCGTTTCAGTGCAAGCATCCGAAATAACAGTTCTGAGTTCATTATTAGGTGTTATTCAGTAGTAATTCAGAGACAGTCGGAGTTCCCAAGTAGCTGTGATCTAAATAAGCTTCAAGGAAAAAGCAGCATCAACAAGATGTGTGATAAGCTTCATGTTGTGTGACAAAAAGCAATTACGCTATCCAAGAAAAGATTTTAAAAGCATCTAAGATAGTCAGTTTGTTTTTGATTTTGTTTTTTTGTCAATTGCGTATTTCTGAATTGTTTAAAATCAAGAGTATCTGAGAGTAATAACCTCCTCTGTTTCACATTGAAGTGTTAGTTACCAGATGTCCTTGATTCATCTTGGCAGTCCCATGTGCTTTTCATCATTTGTCCAATTGCAAAGGATGCTGCTTAAAATGAAATAGAGTAGAACTTTGTACTCGGGATACTTTGTCAAGTTTTGGCACCGTGGTCATGTTAGTATCGTTTGGTTTTGGTATTAAGTCAAGAACTTATGGCCTTAAGCCATGCCAACATTTGTTTCTGGGCAGGAAGGTGAAAACCCATTCTTATTAACCTGCAATGTGGAACATATGGTGACTGTGGGTGGTAGGGCTAAGTTAGGCAGCCAGGAACCTGCTCTCACTTCGCTATGCAGAGACAGCAGGGAGGGCAATTGCCACAGAAGGTGGCCAGAGCGCTCTGTGCTGCTGTCCAGAAAAGGAAGCTCTACATGCAACGTGTTATCAAGTAACGCTCTAAGCGGTGGGAGGTGTGCTTGGTACTCTTAGAGAATGCTTTTAGTGTTTAGTAACTCTGGAAGCTAAAATTAGAATGCTTGCCTGCACTCTGGGTTGCTGGGGAGCGGCAGCGTGAATGGTTCCTATGTGCTGAGGTCAGGTGAATGGAAGAAACTCACAATTCATAAAGTTTTGAGGCTGAAATCATTGGTTTACAACTTACTGTCAAAAGATAAGGCTTGCACCTGACCTGAAAAGGAAACGCGTGTGTTTGTATTCTGCTTTGCTTCACCGTGTTGTGTTTTAAGGTTTTACAGTCCCATGTTAGGAAAACATTGTTTTATTTTTGTCTTGAAAATGCATCTTCCTCTTTCTTGTTATACTGGGGAGAAATAAGCAGGATTTAAGCAGGCCTCGGGGAGGTGACCTGAATAGTATGGAGTGCAAGGAGAAGTGCTTTTTAATTCTGTGTAACCTTTGGAAGTAATTCTTCTGCACTGACAAGCAGGGGAAAAAAAAGACGAGTTGTTGAAAAGCATTTGACAATAATATACCTGTGTTGTATGTTCTGATACTGTACAAAGGAGTATAATGGGAAAACCTAATGGTGAATAAATTGCAGTCAAAGGTGATCTCTTAAAAATGCAGGGCTTCTGTAGCAAACCAGAGGTAAATTTAGAAGCTATATTCTGTTGTGCTGGTCAGATGAAACCATCAGAAATGCATGTATTTCAAAGCCTTTGCTCTCATTTCGAAGGCAGTTCTATTGTGGAATTGCTGCAGTGTTGTATATGGGATAATATATGAAATTATACTTGTAATATGCTGCTGAAAGAGCTTAAAGTTCTGTGTGTTCATATGATCAATATCTGTCACCTTGTGAATGTGAATACAAGCCTGCATTCTTGTTATAGCTCTTAAAACTCAATGATGTTATTATTATTCAATTTCACTGAAATAATTTCCATTGTTTAAGAGTAACAACAGTGAGAATTTTGAAGGAATACAGTGAGAAGGCTCTCGTTAACAAGCTTCATCAAGCTCTAATTGATTTTCTTAGCTTCAGCCTTTGTGCCCTTGCAGTTTGAAATAGCACATTATCTTCAGTCACCACAACTGTGCTGGAACCTTCACCATAGAATGACTGAACAGTTATAAATTAACAGTTATTCTATTCAGATGTTCCTATGAACCAAAGTCTCTCTCCCTCTCATGGTTTTTGGGGCCAAGCCAGCATTTTAAGTTTATTATTCATTGACTATTTTGAGATAACCACGTTCATTGCAAAATACAGGATTTCAGGCCCAAATCCCACTTCCAGCTATCACGGAAATTTCCAGTCCCGTTCCAAAGGAAAATTCCATTTTCAGTATTCCACTCATACCCTTGCTTAGGAAAGGGGTTCCTTTGCATAGCAATAATGAGAAACGGGATATTGGTCTGTGCCTGTTCAGCTAGACTTGGAAATCTGTTGGAGAAAAATATGTGGAAAAAAGAACAACTGAAAAGCTGGGCCTTTGGAAGTGGTGGGACGTGCGTGGAACAATCTCAGAGCAGACATAGCGAGATACAGCACGACATACCTCGTGTCCCATTAACAGAGGTCATTTGTTGCATCATAAAATCTTTGACTGACTGGTTGAAGTGTGCCTGTAGATCAGTGCCCAGGGATTTACCTCAGCAAAACACGGCTGACCACGTAACAATAATGTGGTCTGGATGTTGTCAAATCATGAGATACCTTGCAGGCAGGAGCACACCACAGTCCAATCACTTGTTAAGGTTGATCCACTTCAGCTATCAGTCACTCTTCATTGTCATAATTTCCTTTTACTGCTAAATGGAGCTGAAGGGTGCAGACCTCCTGGATATCAGCAAACAACAGACTTCACTGACGTTGCTGTGCCAGGCTCTTCCCCTATACTTTCCATTTTTGTAGCATACTTCATCCGCGGCTGACGTCCAACAGCACCATACTGTGTGAATGTAGCACTGCTGGAATTTCTAAGCCTGAAGCTCACTTTTGTTCAGCAGAGGCAATAAAAAGACTGTATGCCACTTAAATCACGTTTACACCCTGTTCAGGGGGTTCACAGCATGGTGTGCATATTCTGCCCTTTCAGGATAGAGGTGAAGTTCATCCTAAAATGAAAACAAAGAGTAAGCCAGGCTCGTTAAGGTGCCTGGTGGGATTTAAGGCTTACTTTAAATGACTTATCGACATCTTACTGCAGAGTCACTTCTTGATTCTGTAATATCCTTCTCCAGTCACAAGACTTTAAATTTTACAGTCGTTTCTCTAGAAATGCCTATTAAAAAAGGGGAAAGAAAAGAAGAAAGAAAAAATATCACTGACTTCCATGAGTTCCTCCATGCAATCACTGCTGTGGCCATACAGGCATTATGTTTATAACATGTGTGCTCTAAAAGTACAGTTAAAATCGGCAGGATTCACAGACTTGAAAATAGCTATGCTAATTTCCTTTGAACAGCCTCAAATACTATGCTTCAGTGATAGGAGTTTGGGTTAACTATACGAAGTGAATGAATGAATGACTTTAAAGAGAGACATTTATGTAATGCCTCCCATAACATTTTATAGTCAAATGTGCAGTGAGCCTGCATAGTGAGAAAAGGTGTGACAAATAATGTTCCAATCTCCTGCTGACTCTCTCTCACCGTATAGGCATAATTTCTATGCTAAGGAGACAACTTGTTCTCCAGCCCAAAACATTTTATTTTAGCAACATGTATAATAAAAACGGAGTCACTAAGGAAATGTAGTTGTAACTATGTTGCTAAAAGTGCAGTGGTTCACACTAAATAAATTAGAGTATTAGAAGTACACAAGTTGTGAATGTAGAAGTCCAAAATAAAGTCATGTGCGATACCACGCTGAGCATGGACTCAAACAATGTGCCTGCAGGCTGCGAACAAAACGCCCACCCCCAGTCAGAACTCTTACTGCGGCCCATCGTTTCTGCTGTGTGTTCCTATCTACATTCCTTGATATTTTATATTTTCAACACCATTTCTTCTCATTGTTTGAAAATGAAGTCTAATTATTTTTCTTATCCTGATGCTTCTCGAGCTCCATTTAAATCAGTGGCAAGGATTTTTAATTAGAATAAACTAACATTACTAGCTATAATTCTTGGAGTGTGACTGCAGGAAAATATGTATTTTTCAATGCATCCTTTTGGTATATAATCTGATTTTATACTGCTTATGTAGTGATTGAACGATTGCTCTTAACACCATGCATTAATTCTGTAGATTGTTACAACTGTGTGGAGCTTATTAGCTCTAATAAATAGATTGGGCATACTGTACAAATACCCCTTGCTTGCAGGGAGCAAAATGGTAGCTTACAATTTAACAGTGGGTGCATTTGTGGGTGAAATTCAGAACTGGGAAGTGGGCCAGTTCCCAGTGATTTCATTTTTCAGTATAGAGCATCAATGCAGAAATCTTTCACTGGCGAAGGCAAGCCAACTTTCCTGACCCTAATGGTCCAAAATCGCTCTATGGCTGGGAGCCACAAGACACTGAGTACGCAGCTTTGGGAGCCAGGGAGAGGGGAAGCCCAGGAGCAGGGAGCAGCTGGCACTGGTTCCCAGTCACAGGGAGGGCTGGTGTGGAGGAGGCCTGGGCAGGATGCTTGGCAGCCCTGTGACGATGCCAAATTCAGCAGCCGGTGGCTCATGTTCCCCTGCCATGGGTGGCACTTGGAATGGTTGGGAACCACAGGTTAATTTCTCTAGTCCTCATACTGTGAAGTACAATTTCCCTTACGTATTCTGTTGTAATATTTGTATTACTGCAACGTAAGCACTCCATTTAATTTCCATCTACGTACTCCGTTGTAGAGCAAAACAGCATCAAACCATATGTTAAAGATATTTTGTATAAAGTTACTATATGTTAAACCAATATAATATAAATTGCTGTGCCTTTCTTAATAATTATGGTCCCAAGCATGAGGCAATCACTTCTGAGAAGCTGGAACACAGTCACTTGTCCTTCCAGCTGACGAATCTTCTCTTGTTCAGAAAAAGGGTGGAGATAGAAAAGCAGGCAGTAAAGATTTCAGCTTTGTCATTAATCCATGAAGTGCCTTCGAATAAATCTCATTCTAAATTTAGTGACTAAAAGAACGGTGACTGAAATTCAACAGAAAAATAGGTGTTTCTCTCCAAGCTGTGTCTGACATTTGGGTGAGCAGCTCAGCATCCATCCACTTTAGTCAACCAGTAACCAACTTTAAGGCGAAGCTGTTTGGCTGCATAAGTTGAACCTTGGCTACATCTTCTTGTCTTCCATTCAGCTATTTCCTCTCCAGGTTTTCTTAATAATATTCTACACGGAAATTGGTTGGATTCTCAGTGTCTCATAATGGAAAAGGCACAGAACACATGAAATCAGGAAGAAATAAATTATTTTCTGTATCCAAACTGAAGAGTTTCAGGGTAGGATTCTGGGCTTGAGAACTATCTCCTAACCACAATGTTTTCTTGTTGCCAGGCCTTGCGGTACATACTGTGTTCTTGATGTGGTGACAGACTAAGTTCCTACACCACGAGTAAATGTCAACCCGACGAAAGTGAACAATATTAAACTCAGTGTGACAGTTAAATCTGCCGCCTTTCAGAGCAGTGGAACTTTAGCAACAAACCAGATGACCTAGTTTAGTTTTGATTCATTGCCACAAAGGAGCTAGATCGAATCTCACTTCTTGAGCAGTCGTAAAATTCTCTTCTGCTGCTCACTGTTGTGCACCGACGCTCTGAAATGCAGAATTCCAGGCACATGTAAGAAACACCAACTTGCCATGGAAGATTTATTGGTAAGGCAATGGTCAAATTGTTTCTTTATATGCAGTTCTAAGCCTGGAACAGCTTCCTTCCTTCTCTCCAACAGATGAGAATAAATTTTTGGCTCATTTAATCTAATTTTGCCTCCGCCAACAGATCCTTCTCTCTAGTTCAGGTCTGCAGAGCTGATTTTTAATATAACTTCAATTAGAGTAAATATATAAATAAATCTCAGCATAGAAGCTTCCAATATTTCTCTGGATGTTTTATAACTCCCTCTGTTAAGCAAATAACTATTTTTTTTTCTTTTCCTTTTTTTTCAACAATGGCGTCTGTGGCACCTGGAATCCTGGAAGATCTAACATTTGCTTGGCCAAAAGGATCTGCCTTGGTGTAACGGGATCAGCGTTCAGCTGGGGCTTCTGGATGCTGCTCTACTACAAGCAAAACAAAAAGAACAGTCAGATGAAATGAACGGTATGTTGGATATGTCTTTGCACGTGTAAGGATGTGCTGAGGATATTAAATCAAAACAATGCATTGACAGAAAGGGATGTTCTCATAAAACCAAACGGATCAGGTAGCAGCCATCACTAGCAGCCAGCAGCGCTCCTTAAATGCTGCTGCGCCATTCGTGCTGCATGGTTTTCCTTGTGCCTACGTAAGCGTGTGCACTGTGCTGGCTCCCCCTCCTGCACTGCAATACGTAGGAAGCTGTTATTCCCAAATGGAGCATTTGCTTGCTGACATCACATGCAGCAGGACCCTTTTGTTTGCCTGTGTCTCCTGCACTGAGATGTTTGCCTGAGTCACGCATCCCGCTGCCTTTCTTCCTCTCCATCTTGCTTCTGGAGAGCTTCTCCCTGAGTCATGGTTTTAAAATTTCCATAGAGCCCAGTTTGCAGTATGGCAACTGACTACTTTTCCTTTTAATATTTTATTATGTAAATTATATCTTAATACTATAATGATCCAAAAATCACTGTCACTTTTTTTTTTTATTGCAGCTTTTTAAATAGAGAGTTTTGTGACTCAGATTCAGCGCTGAATTTTGTTTCAAGGCAACGTCAGTTTAGCATTACTAAATTAAAAATTAAAGATAGTGACTCCCACAACTTCAATTTCCTATTTACTCTTCTGGCTGAATTTCCTCAGCTATAACATCATCAAACTGTGCCAGAAAGGGGGTCAGATATGTGCGTGTGTACTGACAAACGCTTCTCACAACTGAAGAAATTACCATTTCGCACTGCGGTACCTTTTTTCTCCTCAAATCATCTTATTGATTTGTTTTGTTAATAAAAAAGGACAGATCCCTGCTGTTTTTTCAGTGGATAATCATTCATTTAGTTTAGATTCTGAAGCTGCTAATATACTGCTGGTGTCTAAGAAGCCTGGGTCTCCTCTTTGTTAAATGAAAGCCACAAACAAAGCACATTCCAATTACAGAATTTTCATTCTGAAAGCTTTGGTAAAAGAATATGGAAAGCTAAGGGCTGAACAGCAGTTTGGCTCAAGCTTGAGTAGAGATAGAATGTTCTCACTTACCAAAATAGAAACATAAAATTGCATTAAATTTTTTGTCCTTCAAATCTAGCCTTTTTGTCTCTATTGTTATCAACACGAGATAAATGAGAAGTTCAGAACAGTGCTTGACTGCCCTTGATCAAGGACTGAGCAGCAGGTAAGGGCTAACGCCCCATTCTGGCATAGCATAAAGCACTCATTTATCTTAAAGCATCTCTCAACAGCTCCACAACTTTCTGCCCTGATTTGAGGCACCTGAGCAGATTGCTGCATGGAACCTTGTTACAATTCAGACGCACACAGAAACAGATGACTGACCAAGAACTGTGTCATTAAACATACTGCACTGGATGCTCGCATTTCCTGCTGTTGTTTTTGTTAACCCCAAGCAGCTGTATCCTTCATCTGAAAAAAAGCTGAAGCCTCATCATATAAAATAGATTTTATTATAAAAGTAAAATTATGCCATACACAGGTAATTTTTCTGCCAGAAAAAAAATTCATATTACAGTTTTAACAATAAAATAAAGTCCAGAGTAGGAATTTAAAGAACCTCTCCGGCTGCCTCTGGCTGCATGCTCTCTCCATGGTTGTTCTCATGCAGCACAGCTTTTTGGAATGGTTCTTTTGAATCACTGTTGCTTTTCCTCTTCTCTCCGTGGCCGTTTGCGAGGGTTCATTTCAGTACCTTCTGCATTTTGGGTGACAGGTGGAGGCTGCACATCTCGGAAGCCCTGAGGCTGTAATATATAAGTGAAATCACGTGATATTACTTCTATGGATACAGAGCATGAGTAACTCTAGTTCCCAGAAGATCAGAAAGAGGCACGATGCTATCATTTATTTTAGAAGAGTGGATGCAGAATGCTTCTAGATGAGGTTAAGCTCAGAACTGAAAGGTTTTCAACACAGGTGGCCACCAGTTACTGTCCCTGCTTCCTTTCACCAGCGATGCTACCATTTGCATTTTACTCTAACAACCCCTGACTACATAGCGGTGCTTTTCTGCAAATTAACTTATGCTGCTTATTTAAATAAATTAAAAGCCAAATCCTTCAGCCCAGATTCAAGCCAAACTCCTGCAGAACAAGGAGATGAGCACTGGATTAACTGCCTCAGCCATCTTCAGAAACAGCACTGAAAATCTTCTGAGACCTTCCTCTGTTTCATGCGTCTATTTAATGAACTGAAAACACTGAGGAGACACTGTAAGAGAAGCGGACACCTCATCTGGCCTTTGCAGTCAGCAGGGACAGTCCCTGCACAGTGATTTATGGGACACAATGGGCTGAGTACTTTTAACTGCCAAAACCTAAATGTAGAATTGAAAACTAGATGCTGCTACATAGTAGAGAGCTTAAGGTGATCTATTCTGCTTCGTACCATTGGTATTTTCTGTTACATTACCTCACAGTTTGATGATCTTACAAGATTTTAGAAGATGGAAGAGCTGAAAAATCAGTTAGCTAAATGTCATCAGTTATTACATAACACTGAGACGTTATGTGAAGCCTTCAACTGCCTTATCTCCAAATGCTGTGTAGGGAGCATTGCTGACAGCTGAGTGAAGGACTCACTGTACTGCAAACTCAAGAGAGGAAAAAGTGTTAATCAGAAAAAGAAACTGTTCTGAGGATCCTAAGTGCTCAGGTTGAGACAACACAGGGCTGAGCACACTTCAGGAAGGCTGACACTTCGGGTTACTGCAGTGTGAAAAATCAGGGAGAATTACTACCAGATGTGTGACTTTTTCAAAATGCCACTATGTCCTGCACCAAAATGAAGCCAAGATAAGACCAATCACAATGTTTTGCTTGTGCCTCATCTCTGTATTTCTATTTCTGAATGCCTCACCTCATGTAGCCTGCTATGTTTCGAAGGGAGCAAACAGCAAGAGGTGCCATGAGGGCAGGACCTGTGCAGTCCCTCTGCTATTTTGAGCAATTCAAGTGTTATTCTAAATAGCATAATGGGGAATCTTCAAGTTTAGTGTTTCACTGCTGCTTGCATCTAATCTCTGCTATTTCCCTTAGGCACAAAGGTGGATCAAAGCCAAGAATCCACTTAATCTAGCATGCTAGACTCTCAGTAAAAGCATTCCAGGGGCTATAAAGGCCAGAACAAGATGAACCAGGCTGCTCAGTATGGTCGTTTTGCGTTTGGTTAAAGGCATGTACACAGCCTCTCTCCAGTGAGAAAGAAAACAAGAATTTTGTAAGTACATGCAATGCTTGTTAGCAGTTTAATATGGAGAAAACATGGCTAGCAGAACTAAGGCTGAAAAAGGCTCACTTGGACCTGCACAGCTCCCACCACAGACGTGCCCATCTTGGGCTGTTCTTCAGTGTTTCCTGGCACCTACAGACTACACCAGAACTGCTGCCTTTATTACTTTAAAGGCATTCTCACTGTTAGTCTGACAGACTCTGCAAAATTCAGGGAAATATGAACAATTCTTACTCACAATACAAGTTCTGGATCCCTATTTTTCATGATCAAATAATCAGGTCATATTACCTGGGAAATTTAGATGAATCAGATGAGCCATTTACTCCTTTGTGCTTAAATCAATTCACATTTCTATACTCTGCACTTAAGAATGAATCCTCATCAGCCTATGAAAGAATTATTTGATAGGTGTTCCATAGCTTCCAGGCTTGCTCAGACTGCTGGCTGATCTGCCAATGTGCTGGAAAAGAAACAGCTGGAAGAGAACTGGAGCTTCAGGCACTCAGTCCCATACTTCTCCACCAGTGTACAAGCACTGGTCAACCAGATGTCAGAAGTACCAAACTATCTGATTTGCACTGAATTTAATGGCAGCTATAATCCTATGCATCTTAGATGTTGTTGTTTTTTTAAAATTGTCTGCTGTTTATACACAGATGTCCTGCATCATACTTGGAAGCACTGAACACATATTTACATATTCCAGTTTAACTACTGAGATGAGAATGAGAAATGGTAACAGCAAACAATTATTATCAGACCTGCTTTTCATGACAGAAACATTGATAATGCATTTTTTACTCATAGAAACATCTGAAGCAGCTCAGCAGGATTAAAGGAAAAAACACAGGGCTAGTCTGAAGTTGTAAGTAATCTTTGGTTAAGATACGCTCTCTAGTATACATCAAGATTGTGTACATTCACGTGGATGAAGACAGCATAGCTGTTCTATAATATGCATAAAGCTGAAATGGCAATTAAACTAAGAGAATCCAATATTTGGCAGCTGCACAGACAGGGCTGCACAGCTGCATCACATGATCCAAACAACCTTGGGATGTGGTCCCATTTTCCTGTCCAGTCTTTACAGAACTGATAAACAAATAAATAAGTAACTAAAAATAGTGGGAGCATTTAGAGCTGGAAAAAAACCCCATGAATTCTGCTCAATATCTTGAGGACCTCATTTTAGGGCAGCATTAAAATCTGCAGGAAATGCTATGGCAACGTGTTTCCATGAGGACACAGAGCAAACAGCTATGGCATGTACCTATGTATCTGTCATTTGAAGACACAAGAACGGAGTGCTTGTTTTTTAACCTATAATCAGCTTAAACAATATATATTCTCAATATGTATCTAAGCACTCAACAAAAGTAAACTATCACAGGATTTCCCCAGGGCTGAATGAGGACTCCAGCTGGAATCTCATCATACAGTAACAACAGAAGAAAAAATACATACTTCTGTATATATGGCCTGGCCATAGGGTCACCAGTAGGACAGAGCTGTGAAAGACAGAAGTACAACCTCTGTTGTGTCAGGCAATGAACAGGCAGAGATCTGGAGGTCTCTGGAATGCCGTGAATGATTCTGGTCAGCCTTGCCCTAAAAATGACAAATCGGAACAGATGCAGTTTCCCCAGCCACTGGGGAAACAAACAATGTGGCGGGAGAAAGCAGCTTGGCATCCTGAAGGAAGGCTCCAAGTGCAAGACTCTCCTCTGTAATTGTACTTAGGCCAAGAGTTGACATGAAGGGCAGATAAACTGTGCAGCACTGGGACAAGCAGAAATGGGCACAGGTTGCCTATAAATCTGATGGTTAATCTGGAAACATCCTGGTGTTCCTGGCTACCTTCAGGAAGAAGCTGAAAGGCAGCACGAAGAAAGCGAACAGCATTCTCAGGTCTGCCAGCGTCTGACAATTTCTTTACATCCAACACTTCGTTCCCATCTCTGTACCTCCATCCCAAGAGAAATACTAACTGTAATGTTATATGGTATGGTTGACTCCTTCTGACTCGGTGATTTGTACAATGTTGCCAACCTGGTTTAAAAAAAAATTAAAAAAAAATTATTGTCAGTGAATACGATATTAAAAAATCATAAGCAACCAAATGGCCAGACCCAAGTTTTCCTACAGTCATTGATAGGTGACCAGTGGAATCTGTGTGTGCATTTTCACAGTGGTCAGTTAAATTCTGGATGCCAAAATCCCATCCCTGTGAGACCTGTCAGCTCAAGTACAATTCAGACCTGCTAACGAAGAGCAATCAATTAGCCTTGTTTCATTACAGTAATTCCTCACATTTCTTGGAACAATATCAATTCTGAATTAATTTCAAATGGCACTTTCTTAAAATGCAAACAAAAACAATTTTAAGCACAATTCTCCATAAAGCAACTATTTTTTGCTTGGCCTCTCAACGCTGGGAGATACCCACAAGAAATCAAAAACTTCCAGGGAGTTTTTCTCCCTAGGTGTTTCACAACCTGGCAATAGAACCGAGCGGATGCAGAACGAGAACAAAATGTTCTGTTTCCAAGCCTGACCTTGCCAGTGACATACAGCATAACCTGGAGTAAATTGCTTTTCTTCTATTTCTTCTCTAACACTTCCTTGACTTCATGCATTTAGAGTCTAAGCAATGCATCCTGACTTGAGCTCACGCTGCACGTAGCCCAGCAGGTACTTGCATCATACAGAGAAGACTGCAAAACACCTTAACAGCAAGGGATTTTTCAACCAGCTCTAAGGCTGTTAGTTTGCACTGTGCCCACCTGCACAAAACTACACCAATGCAAAGCCAATAAAGTGTTCTCTCTGTACCAGGACAGTCTGCCAAGGATCCTGTTAATTATTTTTGTTTTTTTCTTTTTTTTCTCCCTGAGGTGCCATTCTATTAGACAGCACGTAATTACAGCCTGAGGAACACTGCCACTTCATATTAGCCACGCAGGGAATTCCTCAGAACATCTAAGTGGTGGGTTGTACTTTACAAAATAGCCTAAATCCAAAGCTGCAGAAGCCATGCTTTCACAAGTGCTCAGCTGGAGCTCTGCTGCATAACTCTGACTCAAAAGGATCTTTCCTCACTGCACTGAGAACCCTTGTAATTAAGCTCTGACATTTCCTGTGCCAAAGAAAAGAGATGGGTCTCGTACTTAGAGTGCAGTAAAAAAAGACAAATGGATTCTCAAATGGTCATCTTTGCACCTCAGGAACCCAAAAACAAGATTAACCACAACGGATCATCAGGCCCAAGTAGCTTATGCTACAAACGCAGCAGAATCTAGCTACTTCTGCTTATTACAGACATGCAACTGTAATCCAAACTGCTCTGCTTCCGCAGGCCTTGCTCCCTATTAGCTGCATATTTATAACGGTAAATGAAACATGTCTGCCTGTCCTTGGCTTTATTTCTGGAACCGACACCTCCCAAATTACTAGCTGCGTTGCAGAAGGAAAGGAAAAAAAGCTCTTCACTTCTGATATACAAAATTAACTTTTGTTCATTCTGTAATCATCATGTTGATGCAATTTCTCCCTTATAAAGACTTAACTAATCAGTGCAAATTTAATTCTAAACTAAACAGCCAGCTGTAATCATTCTGCATTGCCTTCACCCTCGGAATTCTTAGAATTTAAAAAACAAAATTCCACAAGAAAGTGTCACTGCTCTTCAAGTTTAACAAGCAGAACTGTGCACTACAACATTCCAGCAGCATTTTTGTTCACTGTTTGCAAAAGGATTAAAAAATCAAATGAAGGCTTCTTAAGTCCCAAGTTGCAGCACTGTGATACTAAAATGCAAGTTGAACCCAAATGACCAAGGAATAAAAATATGCTTGTAATGCAGCAAAGAGGTGAAAAACGTACCAGGAAACAAAACAGATCTCACTGCAACAGGCAAAACCTTGTACCATTTGTAGAAGGGCCATCTTCTCCCCTTGGGCTTTTAAGCCCATCTCCCATAGGCGCACTCTACACTGTGAGTAAGGTGGCTCTCTTTCCAACCCTCCACAGCTTACTGTAGCTTTATGCAGCTGCTCAGTTCTCCAGAGCCATCGGGTGACATTTAGAAGCAGAAAGAGCCAACAGCTGCCACTGAGGTGCAGGGCTCAGTGGGCCTGTAGTCTTCCTAAGAATTAGTATGTAGATGGAAAGCCCTCTTGAGCATCAAATGAATTTACACGGACTGCACCATGTGGACTGAAGTCCAGAAATTCCATTCCCTGCTTGTAAAATATGGTGAGACTGAATTTTTGATAGAGCCAAACACCCATAGAAGCAAGGATTCTTGTGTCTGAGCAAGTGCCATTACAATGGCTTGGTCGGCCGTGGCACAGCACCTCAGCAACAAACCACACCAAAAAGGAAAAGCACAACGGTGCAGCTCACACTGCTTAGCTCAAACGAGACTTCTCTTGATCTTCAACAGCCTGGGTCACAGAAGACCAAGGACAAAAGTCAAATTTAAAACCCTGCTTGGCCATTAAAGCCCATTTGAAAAAGATCCAATGTCACACTTGTCAGTCCTACTGCATACCTTTCCTGGCCTATATTTTCACTCACCTCTGAGTGTTGTCCCAGTGAAAGATTAAACGCACGGTAGCAGCATGTCCCCAGCTTTCTCCTGCATAACAGAAATTTATTCATCTCCTTTAAAAAATAGCAGCTTCATAAATTGAACTGAAAGTAAACCAGTCTTAAAAAGAAAAAAACAACACCAAAAAAACATGATTAAGCCCATGTATCTTTCTTGTAGAAACAACTCCCATCTTTTTCACACATACAAGGATTCCACATCTAGTTAATCAAATAGACCAAGACAATGAATCTCTGTGTTGTATAGAAAGCTTGATGCAACACCTCTGTATCTGTAGAAGAAATGAACACGTACCTCATGAAGGACAGGTACGAGACAAATCCTGAAAAGAGGCACCATGAAGAAAACATCTTTCTTATTACTGTAAAGAAGTCTAGGTACTATGACTAAATCCTACTTCAAAATTGTGGCGTTCTCTCTCTCAAGCATAATCATGAGCAAACATCACTCCCTTTGGGATACATGCTTTGGGAGAAAGTCAATGATTATTGAAGTATTAAGGGCCCCTGACGCAGTCTTCCACTTCTGACAGAAGAATGCAAACGAACACAACCATAAGTGAAGGGAAAAGAAAAAGAGAAGGAAGGTTGGAATGTATTTCATGGGAAATGGCCCTACTGTTTCAGCTCAAACCTGGCAAGCTCAGACAATTTACAGACAGATTTTTCACTGGGTGTTTTTTTCTGTTTGTCCCGTGAGACATTCAGCAGTCTGAAGATGGATTAGATTTTAAAGGAGTCGTTTGGGTTAAGTGCCACAAGCCTGCAGCAGCTCTAACTTCTGAATCACTTATTTGTTGGATCTCCATCATGTCAACAGGCCCACATGCCCTGTGTGCTCTGGTATTCATTAAAGCATGGAGAAGGAAAACGTGATTCAATGATAGGGAAGACCTGGACCCTCTGGGCGTCCTGCCAGACTCTGTTCCATTATGCTGAAATTGAGATTAGAGATTTTGGTTATCAGATACAGTTCTGAGTCAGAGATCAAAACGCATTTTACAATGGGTATAAATTCCACACCAGCACGTTTCCAACTATATTGAACATGAGCGAAAAATGCTACCGTAAAATGAGACATTTCTGAGCTAAAACTGTTTGCAGATTAATATTTGACCTCTTTTCTAAATATATCGAATAGAAATGTCTGGGAACAGCCAGCTTAGCTATCACTAGTGAGAAAGAGAGCTGCCTTCCATAAGGCTTTGACTTAATACCTTGCAGCATCTGTGCTTTTTTCCCCCCATCATAATTAAGAACTTCCCTTCTGCTAGGAAGATGAGTAAGAGTTTAGAGATTAATGTTCCTGTAAAATCTTAGAAATTTCTAAGGCTTACCAGTCAATGAGGGGAAAAAAAATATGTAGGGGAGGCAATAGGATTGGTTTTACTTGGGTTCTGCTCCTGACCCTCCCCTCAACAGCTTCATTGGCTAAAAGCAACCATAGAAAAGCATGAGGTTCTTCAGCCTTTACAATGAGGCTTTTGAAACAGCGTCCCTTAAGAGTGGGTCATAAAAACCATCCTGTAATCCATCAGCTCAGTGTTTGTACTGAGTCTTTGGAATAAATTCACATCCCACTGCAAGCAGCTCTGGAGCACTCCAAAGTACTCCACTTGAGATACTGCTGTTTAGGATGAGCAGAACACCTCCTCGCTGAATCTTTTACCAGCTGCTACAAACCCTCAATTCTGCAAGAGCGCATCCCATTTAGTTTAGCTACACCATGTGGTTGTGCATATTCTGGTGAGAGTCACAATCAGTTCATGGTCAATAGGAAGTTACATCAAATTACACATTTGTAAAAATAAGTACATGCACCAGACAATACCTGATGTCTTTGAGTTGTAGCCTACTCTGAATCCTTTCACACTCCTTCCTGTCCCTATGACTTAAACACAACAGATCTCAAACACTGCTGGTTATTTTTTTAAGATGGAGTCTACCAGCTTTAATTCAGCTTATAGCCAGAAAGGCTGCTAAAAATAACTAATACTTCAGAGAGCAAGAGGCAAATACGACAAAAAGGGTCAGGTACTGAAAGCTGGTTCTTTATCTGCATGCACAGCTCAAAGTTCCACATTCTCCAAGGAGATGATCTGTATTTGTTCATCTTATCTTACATCTGTGCCAAATGGTTCAATGCCTGCACAGACACTGAGAACATCTCTGCTTTTGTTCTGTCTCCTTTCTCTCCTTCCTCTGCAGAACAAGAGGTTCATTACTTAATTCACAGAAACTGAAGCAGTGCACAGATAATTTGTGCCCTTTAACTGCATCACAAAATAATGTAGTTACAACCTGTAAGAAGAAAAAGCTCAGCATTTAACTCCTAATTTGTCTACATCTCTACTTCAGAAGAACTGTTCTATTTTCCCCTGTGACCACAGCAGAAGACTCCATCTGAGGTACTCTGCTCATCACAGGGCAAAATGGAATAGTCTGAAAAGAACTTTAATTCTCTATGGGCAGGCTGTAGTTGAGGATCTCACACAGAACTTCCCTCTGTATCATAACTGCAGAGATTAATGGGTAGATGGTTCCAGCTGTGCACCAAATATGAAACACTTCTGTTTCAAACAGTAAATGGAAACATGTTCAAGTGTAATGGCAAAACAAACGATTTAAATTTCACTGGAGAGGCAGTGGATGATTCTCTGGATAACTTCAGTGTATTATGAGGTGTGTGACCACAAAGCTGTGGACATGAGTTCTTGTTATTGTTTAACTTATTCATCACAGTCTTTCTGGTAGAAGTTTAAAGCCCATACTGCCATTCCTACATTCTTTGTGTCATCCATCACCAGCAAGTTTCATCTCAATTACCTCATCTGCCAGCAGCTTACTTATTATTTAAACAGTTGAGGCTTACCTGGCCCACTTCTGGCAGAAAATGGGTTGGGAGACAAACAAACAGCTCAGCCAGCACGAAGGATGTGGCAGCAACCTCCAGCAGGGCTGCTGGCCTCCTTAGCTGACACTGCTGCAGCTGGAACACCTCCACAGCCTACAGGGGGAAGCTGCAACGCATTTGCTGCAGGTCTAAATCTAGCTCCTAGTCTTCATACCATGGGTGTGACGTTTTCTCCTTAAAGAACACTGATAGATCTAATTCACAGTTTACTAATAATTTTTTGTTGTTGTTCCTGATGCCAAAAGTAAGGAAATCATGCACAGTGCAAAAGCTAAACACCTACCTAATGCAGGTACCAACATGGACTGGTTTTGTCCAAACCTGGTTGTCATTTGGTTTGTCAGAACAACCTGAAAGAGGAAACAAGCAAATAAACAACGTTTCCAGAAAACAGTTTGGGAGGGAAGGCTGGCATTTCTAAAAAGTTCTTATCAATCAAGTAGTTACTTGAGCAAAACTCCTGCCATTGAAATGAAGCGTTTGTGTTAACAAGAAGAAACTAGAAAGGCCCCTCATCTTTTCCTCAATAGCCAAAACAAAATAAGAAAACTCTGAAAAGTGTATTTTCAGTTTGCATGAAAGGAGCATTAATTTCATTCAGGGTTAAATAAAAATAAAAACAAAACCAACTCCCCCTAAACTTCTTCCTTCCTGAGGGACATAACTTGTATCTTCCATTGTCTTTGCACTGAATACCATTTAGATCTGTATTTAGATGCATGTGTCTTGTACTAGCCCTCTATAAAGAGATAACAGTTCAGTCACCGTGGCTAAAGTGAACCTGATGCTGCACAAAGCAGGGATCAACCCGGTGATTAACATAACTGCTGCACCTCGTAGTCTAAAAATGCGCAAGAGAGTACAACACAAAGCAGGATGGAAGGGAACAGACAGAGTGGGGGAGTGTTTTCGCAGCACGAATCACTCGTAGGAGGTTCACAGACAGTCTAGGTTAGATCTCTGGTAGAAATGAGGGTGGGTGAGACAGAAAAGAGCCAGGAATATTAATTGCAAAGTTCATTAAAAATGAAGAATAAAAAAAAATGGTATCTATCTTAAACTGCAGGGATTTTCACTCTCTGTCATGCCTGTAGCCAGAAAAGAGCACTGAGCACACGGGGCTCACACCAAAACACTCCTATAGCTGAAAGCCTTGAGACACAGCCTGCACATCTGAGAAAGGTTCCTCATCCTGAGCAGATGATAACAATTCCAGCAAGGCTGCCCATCTCATTGTTGGAGAATGCTTGTTTCTGGGCATTCCAGCACAACCCACTGAGTTCAGCTTTAGAAACTGAAGAAACCTGCTTCCTGCCATATCAGAGCACTCAGACTGCCCAGCTTTGCTGCCAGTCAAGCAATTTCTGGCATGCCAGTTGAATTTAATTCCACATAGCTTGCAAACAGTCTAACTCAAATACTAACAAGAAGGTCACCGAACCAAACCATTTCTGAAGCCCTGTGATTGATTACTTCTTTATCAAGTGTTTATTTAGCAACTGTTTGTATTAAACTGCTCACTTGTTCAATAGAAAAGTTATGTTTCCCTTGAACAAAGAAAAAGAGGCTATACAATGACAACCACTCCCTTTCAAGGTCACCAGGTACCCAATTTATGAGTGAAAGCACTCAGAACAGGAGGCTGTGCAAACAAAGCAGTCACATAACATTTGTCCCCCTTGGTGCCCACACCAAAAAGAGGAACCTCCATAATTCACATCACGAAGGAGAGGGGGAACACTTCCAGCAGTAAGCACAATCACTGAACCAAAGCAGAGCTGTGCTTCTCTTCCTGCAGCTAACAGAGGATGCACAAGGGAAGGCTTATTTTTAGCAGTTACGAACAAAACCAATTGCATGAGAGAGTTGTGGGCGACAAGGAAGCAAATCACCTGGAAACAGCTACAGGAGCAAGCACCATTTTGAGACCTTGTAAGCTGTAATTCCTGAACAATGCTTTTCTGTACTTCAAAAGACTTGTCAAAACAACTTCTGGAACAGATGCAGCTTCTGAGTGCCATCTGCTGGCTACCGGCTGCACCTTGGTGGGCCTCCGCACCGGCACAAATGGTGCAGCAACAATGCCCAGGAAGGAAGCAATGGGTTTCCGCGGGTGCCAAAACAGCAAACCCAACTCCAGCAGGTAATTGTTTTTCCTTCCTAGGAACAGATTTATTTTTACACCAACAGGAGTTGTTGTAACTGCTAAATATTCCAAAGTATTTTATTGTATGTGCGCTTTGCAGGCAGGAAAGAGTAAAGAAGCATTCTATTTCCAACCTTGTCCTGCAAGAAGATTATGTGAAACCATGACAAAAATGACATGCTAGGGTTTGAGATTCCCAGGACGCTTTTTATTCAATTTTTACTTATTTTGGCAAGACCACAATTTTTCCATCTACCCAGTTTTGCCTGTGCTATCTATCCACACTTCCAATCAAACTGACAAACGTTACAGTAAGGACATCCCTTCAGCTTTACTTTGCTGTCTGCAGACAATTACAGATCACACTGGCTTAATTCTTTGTTATGCATTTATTCCCAGGTAACTCTTTTATGATGTAACTCTGCCCCAGACCTACCGCTGCCTTGTGATCATTTGCTATGATGATCAGCTGCTGTGCCAGACCATTCAAAAGCCGTGTTCGAAGCGAGAGGTCCTCAAAATCATGGCGAAAGGGAAAGGCAATTCCATCAATTACCACCAGTCGGACCTAAATACAGAAGGAAAGGAAAAAACGACCATTGCTTTCATAATGAAGAGCTGTAAGATTCCTTCTTAAGAGCTTCGGAATGTTTTGTACGAGGTAACACAACATTTGATGCTCTGATGTGTGTGACAGCATAAACTGTTACTGGAGACAAACAGCAGCAAACCAGTGCAGGGTAAAGAGCCCTAAGCTCCAAACACACTGGTAAGTGCAGTACTGCATTGTGCACCCAAAGCTCAGAATGCATCTGCATTAGCTTGAACAAAATGTTGCTCTAAACCTTTACATTATTTAATTCAGAACAGAGCTGCTGTTCCAACTCTTTCCAGTTTCAAATCTCATTCACTTAGAGCTCACTTATCTCTGGTACAGAATACAACATGACAAAGCTGGACTTAAGGCCTTGAAGAAAAGCTGTAGAGGAAAATCAGAAATGTACTTTTGTCAACTCTCCACAAACACTATTTTACTTTACCTTCTCCCTCAAAAAATAAAGTCCAAACCATAGCTAGAAGACGTGCTGCTCGCAGTCATCGTTAAGATCATCAGATTCTGTGGGTCCTGTCTGCTTTGCAAACACACATTTTAACAGATGCCTTAAGATATTCCAGATGTATGTAATGGAGCTGAGTATCTGCCTTGCCTGGAGATGTTTGCTTTGCTTATTAATTATCGCTTCTGTAGTGATCGTTAGTTGAAGGTAGAATAAAATGCTGCTGCAGGCTCATCACACTCGAGACACCATGCAAACATTAGTGTGGGATTTTGATTTCTACTAACTTCATTTGCTGTGACTGTTCTGATGACACAAATTTGTCTGAAATACAGAAGGGAGATGGATTGCCCCAGTGTTCACATGTTGTCTTTGAAGTCCCAAATATCTACAAGTTCTTGCATCAACGTATAAGACAAGCTGGAAAAAAGAACATTCTGATTTCCTGTATTATTGATTTAACTTGTTACAGGAAAGTAGCTTTGTGGCTGGAACATACAAGCCTGCAACAAACATCATGCTGTGAAATGGCCCTGAGGCTGCAACTGAAAAAAAAACCAACAAAAAACCAAAGAACACCAAGTAGTCAGAACTAAAATATGATGTTCTCCTGCTAAAATTCTTCTTTCTGCAAATTCATTTCTATGAGCCTCTTGAGTAATTTTTTGACTGGAAAAAAACAATCAGTTCAACAATCTGCGCATGACTCATACTAGAAGGGAATATTTACATAGTTCAATTACTTGCCTATCAGATTAATATAGCAAGGTAAGATGTGAGTTAGTTTACTTTCTCCTGGTTGCATTTTTTTCAAAATAGCAAATAATACGGCCTGGTTTTGCTTTAGATCTACTTCAGAAAGCTTGATAACACGTGCCTTTCACACGTCAGTTTGTCTTTACATGACATAATAAATTATGTTTATTATGACAATGATATTTTCTAACTTTTTTTCATATTATTGGTATTTTTCATACCAACAAGCTCTGAAAGTAATGCATATTACCCACTGTCTCTCTTACAACTACGTCTCCTCTCCTTGGAGGTATTCCAGTAGTTCCAATCTCAGCACCAGATCTGCAGAGGGATCACACTAATTTTAATGAGATCTGGACTTCAATGAGCAATCTGTCAAGTCACTTGCAGACTGTCCAAGGAATCACCAGAAGGTCGTACGGTTTTCCTGCAACCTTCAGTATTTCAGGCTCCAGGCCAAGCATCCATAATCAGCACAGATGGCACCAAAGAACTGCAGCCCAGCGTAACCGCGCTAATGAAGCCATGTACTTTCCACAAGAGCAAACACAACAGGGCACCGTTAGCAACTGGCAGAGAAAGGGAAATACCAGACTATACTAAGCAAAAGCAAGACTCCCATCTGTGCTTTCAAGATCATAACAGCTTCCAAAAATGGAAATGAGATGCAAAACACAATTTAACTAAACAACACTGATTTGTGCTCTGATGCAATGAGGCAGAAGTTTTGTTCTCCAAATCCTGCTAGGGAGCGATCTGCTATGTAGAGATCTGCTATGTAGAATCTAGAAATCTGGGAAGGAGGTGGAAAAAATCTGCCTTGCTATAGCATTCCACTAAGAACTAGATACTAGGCAGCTTTTTGGCTGCAGTCCACCCAAGAGTTAAGCTGCAGGCTTTCGTTGCTTGTAGCAACAGAAGATGTACTGGAAAGAAATCAGAGTCACTTTCTGGATGCCAAGATGTGCAGGATGCTCTCAGTTCCTTTTCTGGGAGGAAAAAAACTGGCACTAGGTCCTTCTGATCCCCTGCACAGTGGCCACATGCAAACAGTTCAGCCTCCTGTACAGCAGTTTTGTGATGTTTTCTACTTTAGTGATCGAAGAAATATAACCTTTGTGGCAACACCAGATCCAGTACCTTTGCCTGAAAGTTGAGATTCAGGATGGTGGCAGCATTGGTAACCAAAGTTAATTACTCTCAAGAGTCATGGCGACTGGAACAGAAAGCAAACAAGTAAGCAAACTTTACATTTGTAGTCTGGCATCAGCCAATACATTATTGCTAAGCTGATGAAGTACCAATGTGTTACTCTTATTATATCAGAGTATTCCTGAAAGCATCTAATGCAGAAGTGAGTGTTATCTTCTGGTAACTCCATGATAACCCTTACCTTTCAGTTCTGCAATAACTCTTACCTTTGAGTGCTCTGAAAGAAAGTCTGGGAGGAGATAGACCTGTGCTAGAAGCTCTATGTAGTCACGGCAACGGAAGTAATATATGTGAGAAAGGATACTTTCCAGAGAAAAAGTCTCCAAAGCTTTTAGATGATCTGAGAATAAACAGATGAATAACCAAGTCAACAACCTGTAGGTACAGGCATACTGCTGCCCTAATTATTCCACCATTCCACATATAGCAACAATAGCAGCAAACCTCCCAGAAACTCTGATAAGATAAACCAGTGAAGGTAAGGAGGCAGGAAACATATTTTCCATCTGGTTTGAAAGTCAGGAGGGTAGTGAGCAGATGCTCGCTCAGCGTTAGCACACGGACACACTGGAGCCTCCAAGGGAGTGCTCAAAAAATGAAAAATTAACTCACGAAAAAGAACTCTTCAATCACTTTCAAACCAGAGCACCACAATGAAACATCACACAGAAAAAAAAGTTACTCTTAGATGAGATCAGCTCAGTCTGCAGTATGGCTCTACAGTCACACTGACGCAGTTGCGGGTATGATACATAGAGATGGAAGTAAAAGGCTGGCAGCAAGAACTGCTTAAGCAAGCACTGCTTCTGAAACCCTTCAACTGCAAAATTCACTCTTTGGAAGCAGCCCACCAGACAGAAAAAAATGATTTAGCAACATACCTTCTTCTTGATGAGCTTCAGCAATAAGCTGGCAATGCCGCACGCAGGCAGCTGCAATATCCGCTGCTCTGTCTACCATAAAACTGCCTTCAGTATCAATGAACACTGCTTCCCCAGCTACACCCCCAAAGCATTCCGGGATCTGGACATCCACTGCCAGCTGCATACTGCCATGGAAAACAAAGACAAAAAGATAAATAAGTACATTACAAATCTCCCCCTCCAAACTTGTTACATTTCTGCTAAGGAACAGTGCCAGGAAAGAATAGGGCCATAACAAGATGAACTCTCACCATCCTTAAATTCAACAAAGAAAAGTGATTCTCAGTTGCACAGAAGTAATCTAAAAAAACCAAATACCATAGTTGTGTTTTCCCAACACCAGGTGCTCCACAGATCTCAGTAATTTTTGTCAGTTGCACACCACCTCCCAGAATGTTGTCCAGCGCTGAACAAAAGGTGATGATGAAGCCCTGCGCTTGCTCTTCTTCCAGAAGTTCCAGAGCTGTGCACTTCCTGGTGCTGTCTGACCCCCCAGCCGTCTTTGCTGCATCGCCAGCACATTCTTGCCTGACAACCTGTAATGCTTCCAGTGCCTCTTCTTTGGAGACCCCAATTTCTAGGAGAGACAAAGTCATGAGAAGTTATTTTGTTTTTACAAACAATTTATTTAGAATACAAACAGAAAACACAGCTTGTTTGGCAGAACCTGATACTTCTGTTGCATGACTCAGAATTATTAATCTTTTTAGTATAAAACGCTTGCCAACACATTCAGAACTAATGATCCAATCTGCAGAAGATCTTGGAGCAGCTGAGGCTTCAGGAGGCAATGAGCAATCTGCAAAACGGCCGTCCACAGCCACGCTTAGGATCAGGGAGAGCAGTTCCCCTGCTGTGCACTGAGCATGCTGCTGAATAACCTCGTCTGAAGCAATAAAGTCCCCGAGAGCAGTCGGGCAGCGGGGCAGAGCAGGGCCAAACGCAGCACTCAGTATTTCAGTCCTGAAATAAAGGAGTGCCTGCAAATGTCTTCACATGCTTACAGCGTGTTACCACTGAGGGCCGCCCAGCAGACTGACAGGCAGGCTTCAGCCTCCTGAAAAGCAGTTCTTGTAACTTCATAAAGGTTCATTTCGTGTAACGCGTGCAGCTAAGAGGAGGAACGTGACAGTGTTTTATTTCCAGTGCTTATCGCTCAGTATAACCAGTGACCGCTTCATTTCCCTCTAACCTGGAGGTGCCCCAGGTCCCACAGGGAAGCTGCCACAGTACAGACCTCAGGACGGGTAACACACTTCAGCCTCTCAAGGTGCTTCACGAGCATTAAGCCCTGACACGAGCATTAAGCTCTGACACGAGCATTAAGCCCTGACACGAGTATTAAGCCCTGACACGAGCACAGCCCCGCCGCAAGGCGCTTCCAGCTCCCGCACGGGAGGCGGGCCGAGCCGAGACACGGAACGGCCTGCAGGCCGGGGAGAGCGCGCCCCGCGCCGGTACCTTTGCTCAGCCCGCACGGACCGGTCTCCAGCAGCTCCTGCGCTGTTTGGAAGCCGGCTGCCAGCAGGCGGGCGCGCAGCGCGGGGCTCAGCGGCAGGCTGCCCACGTCCCGCTGCATACCGCGCACACCGCCCTGCGCGGCGCCAGCGCGGCTCTGACGGAGCGGCCCGTGCGCATGCGCGATGGAGGGGAGGGGGGGGGGGCAGTGAGGGAAGTGTCTGCGCGCGCGCGGGCTGTGAAGGCGCGAGGCGTGTGGGCACGTGACCGGGGCTGCGGCCGTTTGGCGGTGGCGGCGCGAGGCCGTGAGGGAGCGGCGAGCGGTGCTGTGGCGGGTTTGGTGGCCGTTCGGAGGGAATGGATCAAAGAGCAGCGGTGCCGAGCTAGCCGTGAGCCAGAGGCGGTGCCGGCTCTGTTCTGTCTTTGCTCGTATTCCTGCGCGGCTCTCTGGGTGGCCCGGTGGCCTCCTGCGTCTTCTCCCTTAGCAGGGCTCTGCCCGAGCCCGCAGGCAGGCTGTGCTCAGGCGGCTCGGAGCAGCCAGCAGCCGCACCGTACTGACGGCCGTTCTCTCTGTGTCGGCAGGGCTTTCAGCCACTGCTGACGGCTTCACCTCCTGAAGTTCTCGAAGCCTGAGGTAACTCGGAGCCGTGGCACCGTGCAGCCTGGCCTCGTGCTGAGGGAGGAGGATGGCTCACGTGCAGCCTCTGCCCATTCCCTGCCCTGTGCAGCTCGGGAGTTTGAAAGGAGATTCTCTAGAAGCTCAGCTGCACGAGTGCGTCCGGCAGGGGAACTGCAGGAAGGTGAAGAAGCTCCTGAACAAAGGTAAAAACTGGCTTAGAAAGGGCCTTGTGGAAAAGCTTTTATTTGAACCACGTGCTTATATCTGTTCAGAGGGAAAAAATAGGTAGAATCAGAATGCTGTCCATCAATACAGTTGTGGAGATACGTTTACAAAAACTGTTACCTTTGGCCTTCTTGGCAAATGGCACTAATTAATAAAATGTGCTTTTGGCTGTAAGGCTTACAGGACCTCAGTCACAAGTGATGGAGGTTCCGTAAAACTAAATTCTGAAGGTCTGCTTTAGGAATGTCCAGAGGGCATTTTAAGTCTTTAACAGGGTGGTTAAAGTATAAGTTTAGATATTGGTGTTTTTAATGACATGGGGACAGGAATGGCACAAATGAACCCTGGTAGTTGGTGCAGTTGTTAAGTAGAAATGTTCCTAAATCAGTGAATCAGAGCAGAATGCTGATTGCCTGGAAGCGCTGAACACAGCAACGAAAAGGAAGCAGCATGTATATATGCTGTGTGTACGCTGCATAACACAGGGAGCTTTGGACGTGATATTCTCTAGAGATGGAAGAAATATGACTGTGAAGATTAATTGTAGGCTTGAAGGTAGTTTTTCCTAAATGTTAATGAACATTTAAATCTCATGCTCTGATCTCTAAGAGTGTGACTACGCAACACGATCGCCTGGCTGCTATCGAGGGCTGGCCAGCAGCTGCAGCCGCCGCTCACCGTCGCGTCCGTCTGAGTGGAGCGGCCCTCCAGCAGGGGGCGGTGTTCCCGCCCCTTCCTGAGAGCGGCGCTTCTGATTGGTCGTCCGGGGCGGAACATGCAGATGAGGGCGTGTGTCCGAGCTGCAGTGCCGCGCTTTTGGGGTTCCCGCACCGGAGCCGGGGGGCGGCGGGAAGATGCGGGAGCGCGGGTGTATGCGGGGAGCGGCGGTGCGGGGCCTGGGGCGGGACTGGAGCTCGGTATAAGCGGTGTCCGTGAGCTGGAGGGCGGTGCGCGGCGATGGGGCGGGCGGCGTTGGGAGCGGTGGGTTAGGACTATACTTTCAGGGATCATTTCTGTAGTTGGTAACTAGAGGAGTGTGATCGAAAGTGTCCGGCGTCACAACCCACGAGGAGGAGCGGTGTGTTCTCTCCTGAGCGTGAAGCGGGCGGGCGGTGCTGCTTGTGCAAGAGCCGCCCGTCATTGATGATCGTTCCCGTCCCACATGTTGGGTCTGGGAGGGAAAGAACACAGGCTGAGTGGTTTGTGCCTTATTATTAAAGAGGTGGAAAAGCAGAGCGGTTTGTGGCTGGTGTGAAACGCAGCTGGAAGTAGCGGGTCTGTTTTGTCCCGTGCCGTAGGACGTGCGTGCTGCGCTGCGGATGCTGCCGTGCTCGGAAATGCGGTGCAATTGCGGGGCCTCTGTTTGGCTGCTCTCCAGAGGGCCGGTAGGAACGCGCTGGGGTTCAGCAGTGCCTGGTGGCTGTTCGCGGTCTTGCAACGCTGCCCTGGAAGCGGGGCAGATTTTGGGCCGGGTACATCACCCGCTGGCACACGAGCGTTCGGGCAGAATCACGCAATCACAGAGTCGTTGGGGTTTGAAGAGACCTGTGGAGATCCCCCAAGTGCAAACCCCGTAAAGCGGGTTCCATGCAGTAGGTTACACAGGAAAGCATCCACGCGGGTTTAGAGTACCTGCAGTGAAGGAAACTCCAGCGCCTCTCTGGGCAGCCTGCTGCAGTGCTCTGACACTCACAGCGTTCCCGTTTGTGCGCACTGACCCTCGTCCTGTTGCTGGGCACCAGGGAAAAGAGCCTGGCCCCATCCATTTGTCTCCTGCCCACTGTGTATTTATAAGCATCGATCAGATCCCCACTCAGTCTTCTCCAGGGCTCCCAGCCGCTGTTCATCAGCGCGATGCTGCACGTCCCGCTCATTTTCTGTACCTCTGCTGGATTTTATTCAGCATTTTCGCGGCTTTGGATCCGCGGTACCGCAGGCAGTGCGGTGGCGCCGCGCCTGCGCGCAGAACTCGAGCCCCGCTGCGGGCCGAGTGCGGGATGGTGTTCCCGCCCCTTCCTGAGAGCGGCGCTTCTGATTGGTCATCCGGGGCGGAACATGCAGATGAGGGCGTGTGTCCGAGCTGCAGTGCCGCGCTTTTGGGGTTCCCGCACCGGAGCCGGGGGGCGGCGGGAAGATGCGGGAGCGCGGGTGTGTGCGGGGAGCGGCGGTGCGGGGCCTGGGGCGGGACTGGAGCTCGGTATAAGCGGTGTCCGTGAGCTGGAGGGCGGTGCGCGGCGATGGGCCGGGCGGCGTTGGGAGTGGTGGGTTAGGACTATACTTTCAGGGATCATTTCTGTAGTTGGTAACTAGAGGAGTGTGATCGAAAGTGTCCGGCGTCACAACCCACGAGGAGGAGCGGTGTGTTCTCTCCTGAGCGTGAAGCGGGCGGGCGGTGCTGCTTGTGCAGGAGCCGCCCGCCATTGATGATCGTTCCCGTCCCACGTGTTGGGCCTGGGAGGGAGAGAACACAGGCTGAGTGGTTTGTGCCTTATTATTAAAAGTTGAAAAATCAGACTGAAATCAAACTCGTAATGGTAACGGCGCAGAGGGAGCCGCTCGGTTTGCTGGTAGAGCGCAGTGTCTGTTCCCAGTCCTGTCGTGCAGCTCGGGGCGACGTTCGGGGCCGGGTGTGTCTCCGCTGGCCTAGAAGGGCTGTGGCGGCAGCTGCTCGCTGTCAGCGCAGCCCCGCTCACGGCCGTTTCCGGTCCCCCTCCCTGAGGCAGAGCCGAGAACAGTCCTGGGGTCCGGGTCCCCGGCGCTCGGACAGCGCAGCCGGAGCGGCATCAGCAAGCGATTTTGCGCATGCGCGGAGCCCAGGCCCCGCCCCGAGAGCGGTGCGTCTGGTTGGTCGTCCGGGGCGGAACATGCAGATGAGGGGGCGTGTCTTAGCAGATTCCCAGGTTCCGTTTTCGGGGTTCGTTAGCGGGGTGGGGGTCACGGGCGGCGGTGGGAGCGCGGGTGTGTGCGGGGAGCGGCGGTGCGGGGCCTGGGGCGGGACTGGAGCTCGGTATAAGCGGTGTCCGTGAGCTGGAGGGCGGTGCGCGGCGATGGGGCGAGCGACGTTGGGAGTGGTGGGTTAGGACTATACTTTCAGGGATCATTTCTGTAGTTGGTAACTAGAGGAGTGTGATCGAAAGTGTCCGGCGTCACAACCCACGAGGAGGAGCGATGTGTTCTCTCCTGAGCGTGAAGCGGGCGGGCGGTGCTGCTTGTGCAGGAGCCGCCCGTCATTGATGATCGTTCCTGTCCCGTATGTTGGGCCTGGGAGGGAGAGAACACAGGCTGAGTGGTTTGTGCCTTATTCGAAGTTAAAAATTAGGTTTTAAGGTTAATGCGGAGGGTTTTATTCTTATAGAGTTTGTTTTATTGTTTCAAATGATGGAATCAACTGTGTTAAACGTGTCAAAGCTCTGCTCTTCCTTAATACTCCCCTAGAGGCGTAGTCTTTTTTTTATCAGCGGAGTGTTGTGCTGTTAATTGTGCTGACCTGTCAGTGCTTTGCTTCTGGCGTTTGGATTTCATTCATATAGAAAGGTTGCATCAGCTGTGCGTGGTGTGTATGGAAAGCTACAAGGGAGATTGCTTATACCATCTTATCAATGCTTTTCAATCTATCTCATTATATTTCTTATTTGCAGCAGGAACGTGGCAGTCACCTTCACTGTCAACAATCCTGCCCTTCCCTTCCTCTTTCCCTTTTCTTTTAGAGGAGAAAAACACTTCCAGTCATCCTGATTTCTTTGCAGGTGCTTCTGTTGATGCTGTGAATTCCATGGGCCAAACCTCTCTTTTCACTGCTGCATTGTTAGGCCTTGGTAGAATAGTGGATGTGCTGTTGGATTATGGCTCAGACCCTAACCAGTTAAGTACGCAAATATTTCTTTCTATTTAAATTGAGACTAGTAGTTAATCTGTTAGAGTTTTCAGCTTTGTTATGCAAAGCTCCTCAAAGGTAAGCAGGTGGTTAATTTTCCTTGTGTCATGGCACACATTAATGATTTGGTATACATAATCACTATCTGTATGCAGCTTTTCTTCCCTCAGGCTCAGCTGTTTGGTGGTGGTAGTGGTTGGCTGTAACATTTCTGCTTTAATGCTCCCCAGTCGCTGTTATGATGGAAGCACTCCGGTCCATGCAGCAGCTTTCTCAGGAAATCAGTGGGTTCTTAGCAAGTTACTGGATGAAGGAGGTGATCTGAGAGCGCATGATGAAGGTGGGAAAAATCCACAGTACTGGGCTATGTCAGCTGGAAAAGAAAGCAGTGCTCAGGTAGGGGTTTGTGAA